TGTTGTAGTTTCAGCTTTTGAGGCACGGATTGATGCAATTTTTTCAGTGGCTGAAGCACAGTTGTTGGCATGAAGGCAGGACTTCTTTTTGTCAACAGCAGAGAGCGACGACTGATGATGTAGGACAACTAGCTTTGGAGTTTGAAGAAGTGCTCGACAGAAAATTGACAAAAAAAGACCGCGCCAGTGGCAGTTTTGGCATTTGTCGCGACGGTGTCGGAATTGGCTAAAATTTGGCTAGTTGATTGAAAACGGCCCGAAAAATTGGACTCGGGGTGTACCCGAGATCTCGGGATTTTAGCCAAATTCCTTCACTTAGGCCTCAGAATAATTAATTTCCGTATTTCCCGTTTTGAATTTTCGCTATTTTTGGAACGTTTTACCATTCTATATTTTTAGGGTTTCTTGTAACGTCTATTTAAATGCTTTTTGAACGTTTCCGGTATTATTATTGATTGCATACAAGTTTCGTCTTTGGAAAATTCCAATTTTCTTATTTTCAAGATTTACGCTGGTAAATTTTTACTTCCGTTCTGCGTCAACTGACGCCCAGCATATAGCACACGGCCTGCAAGCTGATTTTTCTATGGCACCTACTGGAGCAGCATCAGCATTGCTACATGATATTGTAATATCGAGAGATTTTGTATGTGGTACTTGTTGCTTTATCCGGAGAATATTATAGCCTATCATCTTGCCTCACGCTATTTTGTCCCTGGATGGCTCACCTGAGTTGATTATATTTGATCTCTAGTTGGCGTTGTATGTTCCCTCGGCTATACAAATTAATGCAATGATTTGTGTGGCTTTCAAAAAGAAGAAGAATAGGAAGATTATGTTTGATATGCATGTAATATAATTGAACAAATTTGATTTTATGGTTATTCTTTAATATTATTCAGTGTTGTACCATCTACATTTTCAAACAAATTATAAACGTTTATTTACAAGTACAGTTTTTCCAAATTAAGTGCATTTTTTCAGTAAGATTATCAAGTGAACTAGGTAAATTTTCATTTTTTTGGTTCCATTTTGCAAGTATCTTTCTTTAAAAAGGTTCACGAGGTTTAGGGGGAAAAAATAAAGCTTTTGCTTTGTCTAATTTGCAATAGACAAGACGTAGTTTAACGTGTAATGAAATACAACAGGAAGTTAGGGGCCATGCCCTGAATTCGACGCAAGACTTGACAGTGGCAGATTACAATTTATGTCTACTTTTTCTTTTACAATTTAACAATTAGGAGGGGTGTCATCAAAATAGATAAATTATTTTCTATAAACATATTAAAAAAATATGATTAAAATAATAAAGAAATAAACTTTAAAAACCTGGAAAAATTAGATAATAAATATATTTCATCCTCACTTATTAAGGCCCTGTTTGAGCCACATCCATATTTTCATTCTCATTCTTCTATTCATTCTCAATCACACATTTTTCAATAAAATAATATTTTCCATCGTATCAATAACTTTTCCTTCTTTTTCAATCACATATTCTCCATCACATCAACTGTAAAAATGCATTATTTTTCCAAAAATGTGCACCAAACGGGGGCTAAATAATAGTAAACCTATGAATGATTTAATACAAAAGTACATTAAATAAAAATGAAGTACAAGAATAGTAATTGTATTTGAAAAGGATATTTTAAAACAATATATTATTAATTTGTGAAATGATTATATACATGTTAGTGTTGATTAAATTATATATATTTTCAAATTAATATATAAAACTATTAAGCATGCTGAGAGACTAATGAATGTGTCTAAACTCTTAACAAACATAAGCATTCGATGCAGTTTGTAAATTACATTCTTAAAGTTCAATCTTGTGTACTAACTATGCTTCGATTCGCAAGAAACATTTAGCAAAAAAGTCTTAAAAACAGTAACACCGATCATTTTAAACCAATAAAAACATAAAAACACAAATGCTAATACAATATTATGATATAATACGATGTGATTATGCAGAAGACTAGTAACAATTGCCTCAATCTTCAGTTTCTTGGTATTTCTGGAGGACTTGAGGGCAGCTAGCCAAAGGCTCATTCTTGAGGAATCCCATGGCATTGGCGAAACGAGCATTTGAGTTCATGCCATTGTTGCGGGTAAGAATGACACGGGCATGGTCCCGACCAGAGCTTGGAATGTTGCATTCAGGGTCTGAACTCTTTACTAACACTGCCTCACATACCTCATCCTCACGGTCGTCCTGCACCAAGATGTTGTAGGATCCGGTTGAGTCTGTCACACTCTCAACCATATAGGTGACTTGTGCGGTGTCACGAGTTCTGCACTCAAGTTTAACACTGGCACCTGAAATGCACAGGTAGTTTACAATGAAAATCGAACTATATCAAGACCTGATTTTTACCGGTCCATCTAGTTATTATAATAATAAGACTTAGTTTGTTGTAGTTTTTTTTTTAACTAATGGAACCCATTTATAACCGTTGTGATTGGTGATTTGTGTCATTACAAACCTAATAAAATTAGAAACATAAAACTAATCAAGGTTTCAAGTTTAGTCCTTTGATTATTTTTCCTAGCCAATTAAAAGTAAATTTAGAGCAATTGATTGCCAAAATTGTTTTGAGGCAATGTTTTGATTGAGAAAGTTATTGTCCCTTTCTACTAACTAGAACAGCACCACATTAACTAGATCTGACAAGCTATGAAACTAAACATCAAGTAAGTGATAAATATTTTACATACAAAATACATAGATCTAAACCATAGTGCACTTGTATTTGTATTTTACATACAGAATACATAGAAAATCAAAAACAAGAAAAAAACACGATTCATGTTAGAGTGATTCAATCTCAATGTGAGAGAGAAGTCTAATTGCAACAGTCGATAACTAGGCTTTTGCACATCCAACAATTGTATAACTATGACATGGACCCTGGTATTTGGTGGCAGAAGTCTCAAACCCGCACCGACAAGTGTCACAGTAGACCCGACCCTTTACAAACAACGGGTTATCCATAATTCGGGCAGCACTGGCAATTACCGGCAGCAAGCAGATAGCAGAAAACACTAGCAATTTTGCCATTTTTCTTGAATTAAAGACTGCCCTTTCTCCTTCTTCTATCTGTATAGGCAGGCAAAAAAGCAATGGACTTACTTTATTGTATAGTAGAGTTATGAAAAAGGAAAGCGTGTTAGGGACAATCATTTTCCATGATTTCAGTGGGTGGGGATCCACCTATTCTTTATGTCGCTAAAAACATATCAATTTGGACGCTGATTAAGGATTAGAGTATATACGGTGATTCAGAATTCAAGATTTAAACAAAACAGATTAAGTTCTATTTTTAAAAGAAATTACAATTAGTTACGAAAATTTATTTCACCATTGCATTCGACCTATCAATTTATGTACATAAAGATTCAAAGAAATAAAAGTTTATTTTGGGATCAAAACTCAAAGTTTATAGATAATGCAAATTAAATTCTTCACAATCAAATAATTCTTCATAATTATGTGGAGTTTTCTTTTTCAATCCTTAATTGTATAAACCGGAACAAACCGCTTCATTTTTTCAAGAAAATATATTTTGGAATAGGAGAAGGATGGAGAATATGTGGTTAAAATTTAGGGAAATATTTTTTATTTACTCGTAAAATTATTTTATAGAAGAATGTGTGATTGAAAATGAGTGTTAAAAAAATGAGTTTTTATAAAAATGGAGCCCAAACATGGGCTTAAATGGAGTGAATACGGTTCGATTTGGTCGGTTTGTGACAAATTTTCAAACCAAAGCACTTAAAGCAGTTTTTCAAACCAAACCAAACTACTTCAATTTCTAAACCAAATCACCTTTTTCAGTTTGGTTCGGTTTAAAAACACGGTTTAATAAAAAATTGTATATCGAACAAGTTAAATCATAAATATTAATCTTGAATTCGTTATCTGTATATAGATAAGAATATAAGAAATATATTCATTTATTACAATTAAATGGTTTAAAAAAGCTATAAAATAACGTGAATAGAAAGATCAAATACGATAATACCTTCCACGACTTTTTCTGAATCATCCAATGCTTCTACTTCATCCAAATATTGACGAATCACTATAAGTTCATTGTTATTGTGTGACCAATTATTAGTGCAAATCACTGCCTCAATCATCTTTGCACTCAATGAACTCTTAAAGAAATCGTGAATTCGACCACTAGTAGAAAATATAGACTCAGAAGCAACCGTAGATATTTGAATGGCTAACGCGTCTTTGGCAATTTGGGAGACAATCTTGTACTTATTTTCAT